AAGGTCATTACCAAAACAGTAAGGCCCAGTGGTTAAGAGTGTGAATTTCTGAGTCAAAGCTATTTTTAAGGAATTTGTATTATAAGGGTTTTTAAAAGAGCTATATAAATGCATTTTTAAATAATTTATGAAGAAATAGAGTACATGGAAATACATACAAAGGGAACTACTCCGGTTGAAGGAGGGGAATGCAGAGCTCTGCTTATTTAGCCATTCCCCCTTCCCAAGAAATACTGGTTGGAATTGATTTTATGACATAATAACTGTGATAGACAGACAGTGAGCTGGCTTTGAGTCAACTCCAACTTATAGCAGTCTTACATGCAATAGGAATGTTGCTCAGTTCTACATCATTCTCACAAATGCCAGCATGTTTAAGTCCATCTTTGTGGTTCTGTTGCCAGTCCATCTCACCAAGAGTCTCCTGTGCCCTTGTTGACCCTCTCCTTCCCCAAACATGATGTCTTCCTCTAGTTATCGATCCCTCTTGATGACACATCCAAAGCAAGCGAGTCAGACAGTGTTTTGTTTTGATCCATAAGGTTTTCATCGGCTAATTTTTGGAAGTAGACCACCAGGCATTTTTCCTTGTCTTAATCTGAAAGCTCCATTAAAACCTGTCCAACCTTGACTCTCCTGGTACTTGGAATATTAGTGGCATGGCTTCCAGCATCATAGCAACATGCAAGCCACTCAAGTATGACAAAATGACAGGTAGATGGTAAGGTTAGCTATGTGGTCTTAGGTAAGTCAGTCTGCCAATATGTAATATTGGGAGTAATGAACTCTAGTAATGTGGCAGAATGGTTTTAGGATCAAATGACACAGTGAATGTTGGTATGTTACCCCTTATTGGATTTAAAATTTTGTTAAATGTATAAATGTAAAGTACAGCTATTTTTCAGATGCTGCTTTATGCACATTTGGCATTTTCTCTATCTTTCTGATTTATCATGCTTGATTAACATGTATCTTAAAAAAAAAATACAAGAAGGAGCTGTAGTGGTGTAGTGGTGAAAGCATTCAGCCACTAATCAAAAGGTCAGTGGTTCAAACACACCAGCCACTCCAAGGAGAAAGATGAGGCAATCTGCTTCCATAAAGATTTATAGCCTTGGAAGCCCTATGGTGGAGGCTGCTATGAGTCATAATTAATTCAATGGCAGTAGTTTGTGTTTTTTTAAATATAGATGTTAGGTTAAGCCACAAAGAATTTGGGTATATTACAAAAGTTTTAAAAAGTTAGCATCTAGTCTGTTACTATAAAAGTTGTAAGCAAAGTCTAAGGATATTTGAAAAGTAAAGATGAAAAAGGGAAATTCATAACTGCTCACATGAGCATAAATTGGTACAGCCTTTTTAGGGGGCAGTTTGACAATAGCTATCAAAATGCCCTAATATATATCCCTCTTGACTTAGATGTAAAGAAGTGAAAAAGACTTTATATAGATATTGTTTGCAGTATTGTTTAAAATGGTGAAAAACAACCTGAAATCCAGCAATAGATTAAAGTTTAGTGTTATTAATAGCTTAAGGAAAATACACTGCTTCTGTATAGTAGAATATTGTTTGAGCACTAATAATTGATAATGTAAAAAAATATTGACAAGGGAAGATTTTCACATGTTGAATAAAATTAGTAGGTTAAGGTACTTAAAAGGCTTATATATGCATACATGGTCATGTGAACATATGAACAGAAAATAGTAAAGAGGACTGTATGCTAAAAAGGTAGCATGGGTAATCTCAAAAGTGTTGGAACTATTTTTAATAAGAAAAATACTGTCAATTACAAAAAAAAAAGAGAGAGTAGTCATTTTACATTTTTCTCCTTTTAGTATTCTTACCTAGGAAAGTATCACTGTTTAGCTGCCTTCCCTTTACAAAAAATTATCCACTGAGATTGTAGTTGTTAAAATATATACATGTTACACATACTTTATCAGTTATATGAGCTTCAGTGTTGCATACTGTGTGTAGTATGTTCAAGCAGAGTTTATTTACATTTCCTTCTTTATTTGCTATTGTTTTTTTAGAATAAAAATAAAGCTAAGAAATACGTCATTTAGCTTCTTTGTTTCTCTTATATTGGGATATTCTGATCAAAGGGAAATTTACAAGCTTCGCCAACACAAAATATTTGATGGAATATCAGATTGAGGGAGCTATTGCCACCTTATTTTGTCATGTTTTGGAAGGCCCAAATAGGGCTCATTGGTGGAAATGAAAAAGAAGTAGATTTTAGCTCTGTGTAAAGATCGTTTTAATGAATTAAGTTATCTATTAGTAGAACATGCCAAAAGAGTGCAGGCTGTTGTATGAGCAGCACAAAAACACAGCCTATGACTGTGAGACCAGAAGAACTAGATGGTGCCCGGCTCCCACTGTCAGCTATTTGGAGGGCATCTATGTAGGAGATGATGGATAGAAAGGGAGAACGATGTAGAACAAAAACTCAAACAAAAAAAGGGACCAGGTTTGCTGGTCTGATAGAGCCTGGTGAAACCACTGAGACTGTGGTCCCTAGCTGCACTTCAGGTCTGGAATTGAACCCACTTCCATGGCTCCAGCCAAACAAAAGACAGGCATATGAGCTGAACATTTACATTAAGTATATACACTGCTTAAAAAGATCAATCATGGGAAAATAGAAGGGCTGTGTGTGCACAGGGACACAGCTTAGGGGACAGGAGTGCATGGGAGGGAAGGACACAGGCAAGAGAAGACCATGGGGAGGAAGTAGGAGAGGAGCTGTTGGATTGTGGGAGATTGCAGTTAATGTCAGGAGACAAAGTATATGTGAGCTGCTACATGAAAAGTGAATTTGCTTTGTAAACTTTCACCCAAATCACAATAAAAAATTTAAAAATGAACATTTAAAATAAAACTAGTCTAGCAGAGGAGATCTTAATTTTTAGGCATTCTGAAATTACATAATAAACCTCTCTCTGTATTTAAAAAAAAAAACAAAAAACTTACCTTCTCTTCAAACCCTGTGTCCATGAATGTGCTGTGGACTGTCTCTGCTAGCTAGGGTATTTTGATCTTTGGCATTATGATAGTTACCTGGAACATAAAATGTTTGCTTTAATTCTTACTGTCCGTCTCCACTATTATTTTAACATGCCATTGAATTAAAACATAATCCTTCCAGTTCTACAGTATTACCAGAGTGTGTTTTTGATCCAAAAATCATTAAATTAAGTAGATGATGGCATTAATGTTCACACTGACAGCATTGTAGGAACAAAGTCATGTATCTCTATAATGGAATATCGTATAATTTTTTAAAATAAGATACATTTTCTGTTAAAGGATAATTGCTAAGATTGTTTAAGTGTCTTTATGTAAAGTAAAGCAAAGCACAGGACATTATATATAGTGTAGTGCATTTTGTTTCAAAAACAAGTAGTGATTATCTCTACACTATATGTAGGTATGTGGGACTCTGGTGGTATAGTGCCTAAGGCAGTTGACTGCTAACCAGAAGGCTAGTGGCTCAAACCCACCAGCCAGCCAGTCCTCGGAAGGAAGGTTGGGCAATCTATTTCTGTAGTGATGTTGCCTTGGAAACCCAAGGAGTCGCTATGAGTTGGGTCTGACTCAATGGCAGTGAATTTGGTTTTTTGGTATATGTAGCTATGTTTCTATATGGGTAGATTATCTCTGAAAGAATACAGAAAAGACTGGTGATATAGTTGCTTCAGGGATGGAATATTGGGGGTTCATTGATGGACCTTTATTGTATACTTATTTTCATACTCAAAATTTACTTAACCTTGTGCAGTTCTGCTCTGTCCTGTAGGGTGGCTATGAGTTGCAGTCAACTCTGGGATGGCAATGTGTGTAGGTTTGATGTATGTATTAAGTTTTTAATTGTTAATAACATTTTTAAAGGAAATCCCAAGCAAACAACTGTTTCTGTCTTAGTGAGACTTGAGGTTAAAAATTATTGAGTTGCCCAAGGCAGAGGCTAGCCAGTCTTCCCTTCTCTGAAAGAATACAAGGTGAACACGAAAAGGCGTCTGCTAATTCAGCTTCTCTGACTTTGGAGTAGGAGCTCTGGTAGTGTAGTGCCTAAGGCACTTGACTGCTAACCAGAAGGCTGGCGGTTCAAACCCACCAGCCACTTCTTGGAGGGAAGGTTGGGCAATCTACTTCCGTAGTGATACCACCTTGGAAACCCAAGGAGGGGTCGAAATGAGTCAGGTCCGACTTGATGGCACATAACGACAACAACAACAACAACTTGGCATACTTTTTAAGTCGAAATGAATGACATTCTATGATAGCATAGTCAGTTTTATAACTTGTTCCCTTTTTTTAAAAAAAAAAAAAATCTAATATTTTAAAGTTATCTCTAATATGAAAATACTTATTAAGCATTGCTGTTGTTGTTGTTATGTGCCGTCAAGCGGCCCCGACTCCTAGCAACCCCTCCTTGGGTTTCCGAGGCAGTATCACTACGGAAGTAGGATTGCCCAACCTTCCTTCCGAGGAGTGGCTGGTGGGTTTGAACCTCCAGCCTTCTGGTTAGCAGTCAAGTGCTTTAGCCACTATGCTACCAGAGCTCCTACTAAGCATAGTTTTTTCAAAATATTTTTGTTGGAAACTAAATGGTCATAGGAGTCCTTGAAGTGTATGTATATTAGTATAATAAGGGATAAAGGGAGGCAAAATTGATGATCACTGTCACACATTGATACCTAATTATATAAGCCTTATCTTGATCTACAAAGTGCCCACAGCCTGTAAGGTAAACGGCACATTAGAAACTTGATTACTAAAAGCTCAAGAATAATATTATTATGGATATACTGTGACTAGGGCTGAGTGTTCTAGAAAATTTATATTTTGATTTCTTTTTTGTGAAATACTTGTGTAATTGAGAAGGGAATTCTCTTAAAAGAGTACTTAAAGCTTATGAGATTTTAAATAAAATGGTCTTCAAAATAGAGATGAAATTTTGTTAGGAGTCATTTGGATTTGTTTTCTTTCAGAAATCGAGCTATAGCAGATTACCTTCGTTCAAATGGCTATGAAGAGGCATATTCTGTTTTTAAAAAGGAAGCTGAGTTAGATATGGTATGTTTGATTTTTTTTTTTTCAATTATTCATAGTATAGATAATGAGTGGATTTTACTTAAGTATCAATAGTTAACAGTCAGCTCCATTTGTTACTGTGTCCTGCTTGGCGTTGCGCTTGGTCTTATGCTCCTTTCATGTTATATAAGCAGATTTTAAGTAATTTTTGGTTTAGAGCTGAATGTTCTATATGACTTGAACTATCAGGTTTTAAATGGTTCTCATATTTTTCCTCTAGAATGAAGAATTAGATAAGAAATATGCTGGTCTTTTGGAAAAAAAATGGACATCTGTTATTAGATTACAAAAAAAGGTAAGTAATTTTTCTTTAAAGTTAACTTTATTCAGTGTGTTCTTATAAACTTTGATTTTATTAAATAAATCTACATTAATTGCAATTACATCTAATCTTGAAAAGGCAATTCAAAATACATTTTCTATGCATTATGAAAACTTTGACCTAGGCAGATCATTATTAATTTGTGAGCCTACCTTCTGTAACCGAGGTTACTGACTGAATTTAATCTAGACACCTCAAACTTAAAAGACTCGGTACCGAAAGAACTGATAGGTGCACCTAGAAAGGAAGCACACGTGGAGCCACTTTGTTGCTAGAACTAAAATGTGTTTGTAGACATGTCATTTTCATCTCTAAGCTTTTCTTTTCATCTTTAAGAGAATATAGTATTTCAGATCTAAAATTGATAAATACATCAAATAACCTTGTTAGGAGTTAATCCACATAAAGTCCTTTGAAAGGTGCCTAACATGTCATATGTGCTTTGATAACAGCTTTTCTTAGGAATATTATTAACATATGTAATGTAAATTGTAGTTTGAAAGGAATTTACTATGGGTAGCAAACTTAGAGACTAAATTAAATTAGAAGACTCTGACCAGAAATAAAGTTAAAATTTTCCTTCAGTTAATTATATAATTGCACTGCATTTTTCAACTTTTAGTTTTGTCGCACCATTAAGATCTTTTGGTGGTATATTGTTTTCAATTAAATGTGGCACGTGCTTTGCAAATTACTAAAATATGTTCAAGTATCCTGCTTTTATTTTGCATATTTTCCATGCAAAATAAAAAGTTTTTTAAAATGATGTCAAATACACTAGTTTTATGAGAATCCATGAATAACTGAATGTTCTTTCTCAAGGTTATGGAATTAGAATCAAAACTAAATGAAGCAAAAGAAGAATTTACGTCAGGTGGACCTCTTGGTCAGAAACGAGACCCAAAAGAATGGATTCCCCGCCCACCAGAAAAATACGCATTGAGTGGTCATAGGAGTCCAGTCACTCGAGTCATTTTCCATCCTGTGTTCAGTGTTATGGTCTCTGCATCAGAAGATGCTACAATTAAGGTAGGGTTTTTTTTTTCCCCTTCAAAATTGAAAGATGTGCAGAAGGTAACTGTTAAAAGCAGCCTTAAAGTTAATTGGGTGGAAGAAATAAAAAGATCCTGAAAATGAGGACATAAGTAGAGGGACAAGAGATATTCTTTGAAACTGTGTAAGTGATTAGTACTAAACTGTAAAAGACAGAATTAGAATAAAATTTCATTGTAGCTCCTGAGAGACAATCTGCCAAATAACTTCACTGATGAATTTGAGAAAATACAGTATTACTAATTTAGTGTTGGGCAGTAGGTCACCTTGTACTTGAATGATTTTTGTTCTTAGAGAATGAAGGTGAAGTGTGTGCCTTACTTCCCAAGGCTTACATATGAAAATAAAGGTTAAATTAGTATTTCAGGGGATTAATATATTCTGCAAAAGGATTCAATAGAGAGTTTATTTAAATCGGGCTCTCCTTCACTTGAACTACAACTTAAAAAAAAAAAGAAAAGAAGAAAAAAAATGGGCTCTTTTTGATGTATTTGATATTGGCTTTGATTCCAAACTAATAGTAGTTTTCTATAGGGGTATGAGAATATAGGAGCTTTTCATTTTATAAGCTATATATTTCTTTCTGGTTTGAATTTTGTACAGTAAGCAAATACTACATTTTAATGTTTTATCTTTTTCATCAGGAAAAAAGGTTGTTTTTAAATTGTCTGTGATACAGACACAATAAAATAACAGTTGTGTAAACCACCCATAGAAAGATAAGATAGTTAAAGGGGTAGGTACTTAAAGGTTTATTTCAGATTAAATTGTGGATTTTGTTTCATCTGTGGAGGTATAACTCAGAAAATGTGAGTAGATTATGTGTATCACATAATAGCAGTGTAGGCATGACTTAGATGGGACTATGCTTAACCAGTTCTGCAGATTAAACATTGGTTTACTTTTAAAAAAAAAACTGATTTCTTTAGTTTCTAAATCAGTGACTTCTGTCCAACCCAGGGCTGCAAAGTTAATTGAAAGGGAGCCTTAAATTCGTATGTGCATCACTTTTGGTGGGCTGAGCGAACTAAATATCTGCTATATTAATGTATTACTATTTTTCAAATGTATGTAGACATGAATCACAGTATCAGTTTTGTCATTGTGTACTGAAAAATACAATGCAGCTGCTGTCCTGAAGTAGCAGGGGAGGTAGACATTCTTGAATAGATTGAAAACCCTTAAGTGTTTTGCTTTGGCAACAGTGGTATAAAAGTGTAAACAAAACTGTAAATATGCATCCTGATACATACATATTAAGTCAGCTTTATATTACCATAGGAAATGTTCAAAAACTTACCTACTGTTGTACCACTTAGTAATTAATTTGATCATAAGCACGTTATGCAACTTTTTATATGTCTCTTTCCTCATCTGTAAAGTGAACATAGTATCTATCGCGTAAGGCTGTTAGGAGAACTAAATGAATTAATTTGTGAAAATTGTTTAATACAGTGCTGAGCACTTAGGAACTTGTAGCAGCAATGTGTTAGCACTGTTTACACGTCCTCTTCCTTTGGATTTGTGTTATTTTTCAGGCATCTACTATCATAAATAATGTTGTTCTCTTCATTTTTATACCTAAAGCTTCTCATTATTCTTGGGTATTTTGTGGGACTCGCCTTCTGTACTTTTTCTTTCTTCAGTTATGGTAAAGTTAGGTTATTTCTAAATAATGACTGTGATAGAACTACCTTCCAAAAAAATTTGAAGAGCACAATTTAAAAAAAAAACTCACTGCCAATAGGAGATAGAATTTTTTGCAATCTTGTGACTGCCTTGAGCAAAGTACCTAATAGGCTTAAGGCTCAATTTTCTCATTTGTTAGGGCAAGGAAAGTTAAAAATTATCAACATCATAAGGCTGTTTAAACAAAAAATAACCCAACTCAATTGCCATTGAGTCGATTCTAACTTACGGTGACCCATTGGGTTTCTGAGGCAGTAAATCTTTACTGGAAGTAGATTGCTAGTCTTCTTTCTGTGGAGTGCTGGTGCATTTGAACCACCAACCTTCTGGTTAGCAGTCATATGCTTTATATACTATGCTACTAGACTTCCTTTTACGGCTGTTTAGGTTTAGTAAGATGAAGTAGCTAAGTAAACTGTAGCTAATGTTAAAGTTGTTAACAAAAAGGAGAAAATGTGTTATATTAATTTCTTCTGTACAGTTGATAAATACAACAGATTGTTACTTTTAGAGTTACCCATTTAGGTTTACTTCATCACCATTTGGACTATAATACTTTACGGAAAATGATAGATAGATATTTGGAACAGTTCATGATTAAAAAAAAATTAAATCACATAATTTTTGAAATGTTATTCTAGGTTAGCATTTAGAACTAATTCTTAATATTTCACAAAATGAAAAGCAAACAAAACAAATTATATTTAATTAATCAGATGAGGGATTGTCAACTTTAATGTATGAAAAGCTCATATGAAAAAACTGTAACATCTTTGTAGGTAAATGAATATATGTCAAATCTGCCAAGGTATTTTACTTTTAAATGAGAATTCCCAGTGCTGACAAGAGTTTGATGAAGCAGGAGTTCTCAATTACATATGGTATGATCTTTTGGGAAAGCAATTTAGCAGAGTTTATGAAGGGCTTAAAAAGTTTATGCTTTTTGACCCAGTAATAATTCTTCACCATTGCTATCTGACCTAAGTGTTACAAATGAGGACAGAGTTTTTTCAGCATTCAAAGATGTTCACCATAATGATAATGAATATTCATAGCCCATGATAGGAATGCCTTTAAAGATAATGTTTGCTAAATATTTAATGGCATACAAAAATTCTTACAAGAAGCAGGGAGAAAGTAGGCTAATGAAATATACACACAATCATTGCTTAGCAAAAAAAGCATGGAAAAAGTATGCCATTATATATTTATTTTGCTTCCTTTATGTCAGTACAAGGGGCTCTGGTGGCACAGTGGCTAGGGCAGTTGGCTGCTAACCAAAAGATTGGCAGTTCGAACCCACCAGCTGCCTCATGAGAGAAAAATGAGGCAGTCTGCTTCCATAAACATTTACAAGATTTGGAAACCTTGTGGGGGAGTTCTACTCTGTCCTATATAGGGTTACTATGAGTCAGAATCAATTCAATAGCAGTGGGTTTTGGTGGGTTTTTTTTGTCAGTACATTGTAGATTTTCTATCATGAGCATTTATTACTCCTATGATTAGACAACACATAAATATCAAATGAAAAAATTAGTTCTTATGATTCATTTGAAGTTGGTAAACTAACACTAAAATGCTCTGTGGCTCAGCATTTGTGAAGGGATGCATTTCATTTTCAGCGTCTATTTATTTTAGAGAAAAAAATACTATTCTTTAATAAAGGCATGAGAAGAAACTCTTAACTGAAACTTTGATGTGAGTGTGAAGATCACATCTTACTTTGGGTGTGTAAAATGTTCATCTGAACTCTTGATGTCAAAGTTAAACATTAAGTTACCAAAACAGAAAGAAATACTAGAAGAAAACTGTAAACCAATATTACTCTTCAATATAGATGCAAAATCCTTAACAAATTATTAACAAATGGAATTCAACAATATGTAAAAAGGATAATTAATATATCATGAGAAAGTAAGGTTCATCCCATAGTGCAAGATTGGTTTGAGAATCACAGGTTATAAGGTCAGTGTACCCCCAGAAAAAAAATTTGTTTTCTATTAACTAGCAATAAATAATTTAAAATCAAAATTTAAAAATACCATTTATAGTAGCATCAAAAATCCCTAAAACAGGGGAGTGTGCCCAAGACCATTTGTAGGGTTGGCAGACAATGTTTCTACAAGTGTATTGATTGCTATGTTCTGTAAGAATTCCCAGGTGTATAGTAGAGCTGACAAGGGACAAGGTCATAGTCACTTCTTGGCCACAGCCAGCTATCCAGAGAGAGTGAGTAGTTGGACCTGTGTGGTCTTGGGACCAAGTTGCAGGGGGCATCAAGCTCCTTTGGCATAACATACTACACAAAACATTGTTCTACCTCCTACTTTGGTGAGTAGCGACTGAGATCTTAAAAGCTTCCAAGCAGCCATCTAGATGCAGCAATGGTCTCTCCTCGTCCAGAGCAAAGAAGAATGAAGAAAACCAGAGAGTCATGGGAGCAATTAGTCCAAGCGACTGCTACACCATGTGATTCTCAGCTTATATGACTGTGAGACCAGAAGAACTAGATGGTGCCCGGCTGCCATTGTCAACCACTTGGAAGGGCATCTATGTAGGAGATCCTGCATAGAATGAGAGAACAATGTGGAACAAAACTCAAAATCATTTGGTGGGAGGGGAGAGATGGCCAGGTTTGCTGGTCTGAAAGAGCCTGATGGAACCACTAAGACTGTGGCCCCTAGCTGCCCTTCAGGTCTGGAATTGAACCCACTCCTGTGGTTTCCAGCCAAACAAAAGACAGGCATATGAGGTGAACATTTACAACAGGTAGATACACCCCTTGGAGAGAACAATCATGGGCAAATAGAAAGGGCTGTGTATGCACAGGGACATAGCTCAGGGGGCCAGAGTGCATGGAGGGGAGGACACAGGGAAGAGGTAACTATGGGGAGAAAGTGGGAGGGGAGCTGTTGCATTGTGGTAAATTGTAGTCAATGTCATAAGACAAAGTGTATGTGAACTGCTGTACGGACAGTTAATTTGCTCTGTAAACTTTCACCCAAATCCCAATTTAAAAAAAAACCTGAAACACTTAAGGATAAATTTAATAAAACATGTGCAAAATTCCATACAGTAATTATTTCTTTGTTAGAAATATTTAAAAGGTAAAAATTTTATTTGGGAAGAGTAAAGGAAATATTTTTAGAAGATAATTTACTTTTCTTTAGTATATTTTACATAGTGGTGAGTTCCTATGTGTAAATTTTTTTATTATTATTTATTTTTTGTGTGTTTTTGCATAATCTATATATGCCATAAATTCCTTCCAGATAAAAATTTTGTTTCCTTACCCATTCCCCTAATGATGGATGTTTAGATTGTCAAAGTTGGCAAAATGCGTTTTTCTGAGTTTGCCTAAATTGGTTGATATATACCCTACCACAGATCAATTTGTACTTACATAGGAAGAATGAAATCAGTCATTTGATTTTAGAACATGTAATTGATGTTGGTTAAAGATTGATCTTCCAAGTAGCATTTGACTATCAGAAAGAAGTATAATGTGTTCTTGAGATCTGTTTCTTACGGTTTTTATCTTTGATAGTTCATTATTCTTTTAGAAAAATTATCTAAATTGTTACCTTAATTTAGAAGAATATCTAAATGATTTGTGATTTATTTTTTTAATCAGAAAATTCTGTATGCTTTTGTTAATCTGTTCATGGATAGTTACATAGTTACATCTTACGAAATCTTTACTTGGCCTCCATGTGTGAACTCTGCTGCTCTATTACTTCCTCTTTTGTTTCCTAATATTGTATATATAACTGCCTGTCATAGCCACTGAGCCTTTTTGTTGTTGTTGTTTCATTTGCATTCTTAAATTTACTTATTTATATATATCTGTTGCTTGCTTCCAGATTGGGAAGGGACTGGTTAGTTAGGTATATGATAGATGTTTAATAACTGTGGTACTTGTGTTCTATATTAATAATTGCAATATTCATTTTCTCTATTAAAATATTTTATAAAGACCAAAGATGGGATATTTCTAAGACTCTTAGCCCTTGTTACTTACTTAATTAGTAAGTTGCCAGATGGGCCTGCTGGGTGCAGCTGTGAAACTAGAAAAGAAGCAATGGTTTGGTGTTAACTAGTTTTCTGTTCATTTGACAGGTGTGGGATTATGAGACTGGAGATTTTGAACGAACTCTTAAGGGGCACACAGACTCTGTACAGGATATTTCATTTGACCACAGTGGCAAGCTTCTGGCTTCCTGTTCTGCAGATATGACCATTAAACTATGGGATTTTCAGGGCTTTGAATGCATCAGAACCATGCACGGTAAGGGGTAAAGGATAGGTATTTTGTTGCCACCACCCCTTACACCCATCCCCTACACCAAGATAGGAATACCCAGGGTATCAACATTTATTTTGGTTCCGACTCCCAACTCTCAAAAAAAAAAAAAAAAACACTTCACTCCAGTCGATTCCAATTCATAGCAACCTCCCTTGGGTTTCCAAGGCTGTAAATCCTTAATGGAAGTAGATTGCTTCATCTTCCTTTTGCACAATAGCTGGTAGGTTTGAACCGTTGACCTTCTGGTTAGCGGCCAGATGCCTTATCCACTGTGTCACCAGAGCTCAACTCACAGGGTAATTAACAAATGAAAAGGGCCAGGTGATAGCTGCACATGCATTGAGTTCTGGAGGCTAAATGTTTTTTGTTTTTTTATTTCCTTTTAATAGTTGTGATTTGTTGTTCTCCCATACATTTTCTAAAAAATTTTAAACCTATAGAAAACGTACAAAAATAGCGCAACAAACATGCCTGTACCCCTCACCTAGATCTACCAGTTGTTACCATTTTTCACATTTGCTGTTTGCTGAACTATTTGAGAGTTGGTATAGATACCTATGGGCCGACTCGATGGCACATAACAACAACAACAACAACATAGATACCTATATTTTGTTTTAAATACTCCTGTTTTATAACAAGGAGTCCTGGTGACACAATGCTTAAAGCACTCATCTGCCAACTGAAAGGTCTGTGGCTAGAACCTACCAGCCATTCCATAGGAGAGAGCTGTGGCAGTCTGCTTATGTAAAGATTTACAGTCTTGGCAGTCTGCTTATGTAAAGATTTACAGTCTCGGAAACCCTATGGGGCATTTGTACTATGTCCTATTAAAAAAAAAAAAAAAACTGTCATCGAGTAGGGCCCGACTCATAGTGACCTTTCCTTGGGTTTCCAAGGCAGTAACACTACAGAAGTAGATTGCCCAGTCATCCTTGTGAAGAGTTGCTGGTGGGTTTAAACAACCAGCCTTAAATGCCTTAGGCACTACACCACCAGAGCTCCTACTCTGTCCTATAGGTTGTTTGAGTCGGAATTAACTTGACAAAAATGGATTTTTTTAATTTGGATTCATTAAATTCAATTTAATCCCTTTCCTTTTTACATTTATTTCATTTTTTATACATTTTCCATGTTGTATCATCATTGTTGCTATCATTAATTTAAAGTATTGTTTTAATAGTGATTTGTAATACAGCTTTCAAGAGAGAATAATTCTGTTTTCTAATAGAGTACAGGTGTCCTACAATTACTGTTTATTTCAATGGAGAGCGTATAACATAGATAGGCCATAGATAAGCCATAGTAGTGGAGAGTTCTTACAAGGTTTTAAGTATCTGTAAGTTGTTTATATAAATTGTTAATATTTTTCATGAATGTTTTTGGATAAGAAAAACTTCCAGGGCACTTACCTGTGTTTCAGAGAAAGGGAACATGAAGTTAGTGTTTTTTCTTTTTCACAATTGGGAAACTGAAGTCTTAATATGTGTAGTGAAGGCTGCAGAACACGGATTTCCTTGCTCACTTTTTAATGTTGAATGTGTTAGAGTGTCATTTAGGTTAATTCCAGGTCTTGTTGTGTGAGACTTTTCTGAGGTGGTGTGGCTCTGTGGAAAGAGCATGGGCTTTGCTATCAGATTTCTAGGTTCAAATTCCTGCTTACTTATGACATTAGGAAATTTTAACCTCTGTCATCTGTTAAATGGAAGTAATAATACCTAAGTCATGAGGTTGTCATGAGGATAAAAATGTATTGATATTATATACATAACATTTTGGTTTAGTACCTGGTATGTAGACACTTTTTTGGTTGAAGTTTGCTTCTTTAAACATGATGAAATTTTAGTGTTTAGGTTTTGTTAAAAGATTATTCAGTGAGTTTGAATAAGCTGTGATTATATAGAGGGTGTAACTTCAAGGATGTGTTTTTCACCCAAGTTAAATGCATTAGAGAAGCTTATCAGTTAAAGGAATTCTGGTGAATCTTTTGTAAAGTCTAGTATTTGTTTCTTTAAATAGCCAGGGCTTGTTACTCTAACTTAAAGAAAACAGAGGTCCTTACAATTGATGGATATTCCTTGATATATAAAGACTATCTGAAGCTTTTGCTGCAAAGGATAACCATTGGGAAATAGGAATTTTATGTATGTGTGTGTATGTATAAATTCCTTTATTTTAATCCCCAAGAACATTCAACAACAAAAGATAATTCTCAGCTACTATTTTAAATATAGAACCAAATCTCACCCCCCCCCTTTTTTTTTTAATCTACTCTTTTAACTTTGTATATCTTATTTCTGTGTGATATCTTAGAATATCAGCCATGGGAAATTCTATATTTTGTTTTTTAGTTCATATATAAATATTAAGATGAGGGCATATAGGTATTACTCAAATAATTTCTTTTAGAAGGATCAGCACAAGTCTGGTCCTTGTGAGGCTCAAAGGTTAAAGATGTCCCAGAGGTCCAACTTTTCCAAACTGTTGTACCACTCCATCATCTCTAATATCAACTCCTCCTTTCCGCAGTACTCTCCCTTCTGTCTTAAGGTTCTAAGTTTCACCATAACATCTAAGAGAACTTGTAAACTGCCAAGGAAATGGCTCACATGCTGGTGGAGGCTGGGAGGTTGGCTAGGCCCAAATCCATGGATCAGACATAGGTCTGGAGTATTCTCCTCACTCATGTGATTGCAGGGGCTGGCAAACCCAAATCGGGAGGTCAGAGGACTGGCTGCTGTCCACGTCCAGGGGTGAGATGATGACAGCCAAACACAGGATCCAGAGCAAGAGAGAGCAAACTTTCCCAGAACATTCACATATATTCCCTCAAGGAAGCTGAGGCTGGTGATTTGAGTCATATCCACCATCAAGGCAGGATTCAGGATACATCCCACCCTGGACAGGCGTAGAGTAATACATCACAAAATGGAGGACTGTGGCTAGAAGGGACCATATTAAACAATTTACTACACTGCAGATATAGTAAAATATTTGTTGTTGATGCTTTATATTTTTAAACAGTTTGTGTAGGTTGAAATCTTATCATAAATAGAGCCGGCTGCTTACTGCATTGTGGATCATTTCAAGTTTCTAATTCCTTAACTTTCTTGTGTAAATCCAGATTTCTCACCGATTCATTTAAAGCCCAGTATATTTAGAACTTGCTATAATTGAAATCCCATGGGGAATAACCAGGGATTAAATACTTCTTGTGGTATATCACTTACTGTGTTGCTGTGTTATATATTGTAGGCCATGACCACAATGTTTCTTCAGTAGCCATCATGCCCAATGGAGATCATATAGTGTCTGCCTCAAGGGATAAAACTATAAAAATGTGGGAAGTGCAAACTGGGTAAGTAAGTTTAGTTGAAAAGGCATCAGCTACAGATATATATGTATGTATATTTGTGTTCTGAGTGTTACAGTAATTTTGGCTTTAACTAGAATAATGATCATGACAGTTGTATTATATACTTTAAAAACTTTAAGTTTTAATCTTAAATGTCTCCCTAAAAGGAACAGAGACATTACAAGAGAGACTTTATATCTTTGAGAGCCATTTCTATGTAATGGCTTATTTTCTCTGTGGTGTTCTTTTAAGTAATCTCTCTGTGGTTTAAATTAAAATGTAAATAGCATTTGTGCAGGTATGCTGTATTAGGCTGGATTTGGTTGTGCTTAAATTCATACATTTTTATTTTAATAAAACTTTAACCTACAAGTTTTACTTTTTTCCAAACATGGCTAGAAATATTTTTAAAGTTTCCTCTGTGTGTTTAGTTTTGCAAAGATTTTCCTTCCAGAATTTGTTGTTTTAGTTAACTTCTTAATGCTACTCCTGTCAACTTATTTTAACTGATTTGGTTGACTTTCCAACCTGTTTGTCCCCATTTTTTATTAACCAGGATTATACATTTATTCTGTTGACTTTCATATGATTTAGCTTGATGCCATTCTCTTCATCCAGTGCATAGCTTTTTAATCCTTCTGGGAAGTATCCCAATGATGGTCATTCACAACGTAAATTGTTACTTTTATTGACAGCTACTGTGTGAAGACATTCACAGGACACAGAGAATGGGTACGTATGGTGCGACCAAATCAGGATGGCACCCTGATAGCCAGCTGTTCCAATGACCAGACGGTGCGTGTATGGGTGGTAGCAACAAAGGAATGCAAGGCCGAGCTCCGAGAACATGAGCATGTGGTAGAATGCATTTCCTGGGCTCCAGAAAGCTCATATTCTTCCATCTCTGAAGCAACAGGATCTGAGGTACTTGTGATTTCATGCCATTTCATAATTTTATTGCTGATAGATACTTCAGGACTTTGCAGACACTTTTCTGATTCTTAATTCTAGGGCCATTTATGCATTTTAAAAATCTGCCTCCTGGAATTCTGAATCTTGAAATTATATACTCTTTCCAACTAACAGACATGTTTATATTTTTTAACCAGTGATTGTTACTGCTCCAGGTAGCTCTTGACTTGATGTGTAATGTGGATAAAAGTGCTCATTTGAAGAAATCAGAAATGCCATTGTTATAAGAGTGTTGTTGTTGTTGTTGTGTGCCATCGAGTCAGACCCGACTCATAGTGATGCAAGATAAAATTGTTGGAGAAGTTTAAATTATGTTTTAGAAAAGTGGCCTTTATAATGAACAAAACTATATTTTACTGGTAAAGTTATGTTGTAATGGCAATTCAGTATTAAACTGTTCTTTAAATGAAGAATATTTCATATGGATGCTTCTGATACTCTTTGGATGACTAGAAACGTTAGTTGAGTCTGGAGTTTCATTGTATTTCTTCATGATTCTTAATTTGTGTTTTTATTCTTTATGATTAGTACCTTACAATAAATTATGAAATGTTATTTCTCTGAATAAGTTGTATGGGCAAAAATAAACATTTTAAATAGGGATGTCCCCATTGTATAGTTTTGAAATCACATCTTAATAAATGGAGGAAAATCTCAACCCCCCTAAAAAAATATGTATATGTATTTTTTCTAAATGAAGCATTTGGGTGCTAACCAAAAAGTTGACAGTTCAAATCCTCCAGCTGCTCCTTAAAGATTGACAGCCTTAGAAACTGTATGACACAATTCTACTCTGCCCTGTAAGGTTGCTATGAGTCAGACTTGACTTGATGGCAATGAGTGTTTTTTTCTTTTTTAAATGAAGCTTCTGTTGTAATCTCTATTTTGGCTAGCTGTTGAACTTTTAAATTCTTTTTACTGCCCTCTGGTGGTGATAGTTACTGTATGTCATAAATTTGATTCTGGCTTGAAGATATAAAAAGGAGCTCTGGTGGCATAGTGCCTAGGGCATTTGACTGCTAACTAGAAGGCTGGCGGATCAAACCCACCAGCTACTCTTGGAAGGAAGGTTGGGTAATCTACTTCTGTAGTGATACTGCCTCAGAAACCCAAAGAGGGGGGGTCGCTGTGAGTCAGATCCAACTTGACGGCAGTGAGTTTGGTTTTTTGGTTTTGACCATATATGTCTAATATAAAAGTTGAATTAAATAGTGTTAAAATCCTTCTTGACTACAGAAATCTTGAGCATACATTTATCGTCTGAAACTAAATCTTAACCTAAGAAGAGGTTTTCTCTTTTTGTGTTATCTAAGTCCTTCCTTTGTAGCCACATGTGATATCACAAGGTTCTTTTGTGCATTTTGATTTTTTTTCAATTGCAGTTTTACAAAATTAGGACATTGCTATATAAAAGCCATTTAAAGTCCTCCTAAAATTCTTGAATGGAAACTGAATTCTTACGTATTTTCTGTAGACTAAAAAAAGTGGCAAGCCTGGGCCATTCCTGCTGTCTGGATCCAGAGACAAGACTATTAAGATGTGGGATGTCAGTACTGGCATGTGCCTTATGACTCTTGTAAGTTGGCTGCTTTTGCATCTTCACTGTGTTTTACACCTTATGGTTTAGATGCCTTGTGATGTCTAATTAAATAATCTGAAGTATTTCAGGCTTTAATATAAGTTGTTCATATAGATGCTTTTTTCTTAAACCTTTCTAATTTTATTGTTAAAGAAAATCTGTTTCTGTAGACTGTGATGTTATGTAAAGGCTCTACACTTTAGTCACTGCTTAGGGAGATCCTAACTCACTGTACCTTTAAAATTTGTGTAACATTTCCTATGAAGGAAAAACTGTGTTTTTATAGACCTGGTCATTTTTTAAGTGATGTGATTCTGTTTATTACTGTATTTATTTCAGTAGGAGTTCTTTATACTTATTCACATGGTTCAGTTTATTTGGTTTATTTTGCCATCCTAAAATGAATGGTTCTAGCTTTTTTACTTGGAAAAGCTTGTTTCATTGCAGTAGCTCCTTGATCTCAATATGAGGACATACAAATGATAGTAAGGACTTGTGGACATTCCTGTTTGTTTAAAGGAATTCAAGAGGATCTGTGAACATTAATCCGGTAGCAGTTTTTAGAATTTGGCATCTGTGTTTGGTTAGAGGTTCTTTAGGTACTAACTGTATCTTAAAGTGATTGTCTCTTTTTAGGATATGTTCGACAAGTATTGTCAAGAATTTATTAGAAAATTAAGCTCTAGTAGTTTTCTGAGCTAAGTTCAGTTATACTATGTTGCTGCTAGAAAAGGTGATCTGTATTTAAAATCAGAAAGCATGCTCTTATTAGCAGTCATAAAAGGGGGAAGAAAAATGAAAGAACGCATACTCTTCCCCCACAGGAAATGTGATCTGACTTCAGTGGATGATTTTAAATAAGGGGAACACCAAAGCAAAGTGTTTTGTTGCCTCTGTTGTCTTTTATTACTATTATTAAAATGACTTTTGCAAAAGCAAAATAGCAATTTCCATTGTAGAGAAAGAAATCTACAGAAAAGCAAAAAAAATAAAAATAAAAATGTTCCTTCGGATTGCTCTACCATACTGTGTTAAAACTGGGTTCTCTAGAGAAACAAAAACCAGCAAAGCTTATAGAGAGAGAGAGAGAGAAAAAAAAAAAAAAAAA